TCAATTTTATTAGCTTTTATGGCTCATGTTTTCTTTCATTTGAAAGTCAACTAAATATTTAAATAGAATTATCAGTTTAAAAGAGTTTTTCTTCACCAAGTACCTATAGATTCAATCTGTATAATCAACTCTTTGCTTTATGAAAGTCCTTATTAATTCTTGCTTGATCTATCATATTACATTGATATATATTTTTCTTATTCATATTTCCAAATTCCAGCTTTCTCCAAGTCTCTCATGTTATATTTAAACTGCCACTAGAGAAATATTTAAAATTCTATTTCAAAATATTGCTCTTCTCTTAGAACATCATGTGATGGTTACCCATTTCTTTAACTTGATCTTCCTCTTCAGCCTCATGTTGTTTCATTCCTTATGTCACTGGATGGTGTCCATACTGACTGACTGTTCTCTAACTTGCCCTTTTACTTCTCTATTCTGCTTGGTTTGTTTCACAGGATGAGCTTTCTGCTTTCTCACACTTGAGATGTGGAAGGCTACATACCCTTCAAGCTTAACTTGCCTTTTCTTTCAAAGATCTGCAAGCCTTGCAACCCCAACTAGGATTTTGATTTTCACATCCATGTCACTATATTATCTTTCACATATCTTGACTTTGATATACATAAGACATTTATTTATCTGTATAAAAAATTTACTATATTGGAGATATTCATTGTTGGGTTCTATTAGTTTTGACTTCATAATCAATGTGTGTATGCATTTTATTGTTTGAGCATTTCATACATGTGTATAACGTGTTTTGATTAAATTTACCCCAATTTCCCTCCTTTCCAATTCCTCCTTTATACCCTCCCACCACTTTTCTTTAACAATTTCATGTCCTATTATTTAATAATAGTTTTACTGGTTCTTTGAGAATTTCATAAAATTTTTTAGTCATATTCTCCTCTTTTCTATCTTCTCTCAGATCTTCTTCACCATCCCTAATTCCCTCTCATTTCTATTGTTTTGAAGGTCTATTGATTTTAATTTGTGTTTTCCAAATGAGTGTGGGCCCAACACCTTGGAGCCTGATCAACTTACCCAACTTCACACTGTTAAAAAAACTGAGTCTCCCTCTCACAGCAACTATAAGAGACTGTGGAGTGCTTGGTATTAAATGGGATACCTACATCACAACCTTTCCCTCGCAAGGCTCCTGGATCATTGCAGAAGAGGGGGTTAAAAGATTGTTAGAGCAGAAGTGGTGGATGAATACAAGGAAACTGTTTTCCAAGCACAACAGGGCAATTACACATATGTGCTATTTTCTTAATCCAACTGAATCTATTTAATGCTTTCTGTATGTGCCTTGGTACAGGATAATCTACTTTAAATCCACTCCGAAGGTGGTTGGTTACTCCCATAACATTTATGCCACTATTTTACTGATGGACATATCTCACCAGGCCAGCAGTCATGTTTCATAGCTGAGTAAGACTATTGATGACTTTTCCCCTCTGGAGTAGTCATAGAACCTCCCATCACTGTGAAAGTTAGCCAAAGGGATAAGGCTTCCAGTTCAGAATCAGTTTAACCTCCCCATGTCTTATGACTCAAAAATGAGAGATGTCTTCAGCAATGGAGTCTTACTGTAAAGTTCGGGAGAGTAACAAAGCGCAATGACAATAGGGTTTAATGTTTGGCAGACTCTACTGACAAACAGCTGGAAAGGATGTGATCCATACCTGACACTAGGCTTTTTGTTTTATAGCATGTAGTGTCTGGGAGAAAGATTACCCACTGTTACGGGGTAACAGTAGTTAAACATAAACTTTCATACACACACACACACACACACACACACATATATATATATACATACATACATACATACATACATATATATGTGAAAGCTTCTACAGTAGTATTTCCACATTGTGTCTCCCTCCTTTACCCTACTCTCCCATTCCCCAACTGCACTTAACTTTTCCAGTTCTATTATCTCTCCATAGCACTTGCATTCTATTCTTCCCCTATATTCCATGACCCTTTACTAGTTTTCTGATATCTGTGGATTCAACACACTCATCTAAAGATTCAAACTGCATCCATAGAAGACACAGAACATGTAAAATTTGTCTTTCTAAGTCTGAGTTACATCACCAAGAATGATTATTTCCAGCTCCATTCATCCTCTGGATTTCATAATTTCAGTTTTCTTTACAACTGAATAATAATTCTATTATGTACCATGTTTTCACTATCCATTCATCAGTTGATGGATACCTAGGCTGTTACATTTCTTGTCTATTGTGAATAGAGCATTAGTGTACATGGATAACCAAGGGTCTCTATAGTAGAATATAGAAATCTTTGGGACCATTCCCAAGAGTGATATAACTAAATAATATGGTGGGTCTGCTTCTAGCTTTTTGAGGAACCTCCACATTGATTTTAATAGTGGCTGTACCACTTTCCACCTCCACAAGCAATGAAGCATTTTCCCCTTTCCTGAAATCATATATATGGCATTTTGACTTGAGGTAAGATGAAATCTCCCCAACGACTAAGGATGTTGACCATTCTAAAAATATTTCTCAGTCATTTGTATTTCTTCTTTTGAGAACTGTCTGTTTAGTTCCATGTTCCCATATTTTTTATTGGATTATTTGATTTTTTACATGTTTATAGCCTTTTGAATTCTTTGTGTATTCTAGACACTAACCTGTTAGATGTATAGCTGGTTAAGAGTTTTCCCCGCTCTACAGATTGCTTCTTCATTCAGATGGTGGTGTCTGTTGCTCCTTTGGTTTATGAGGTCACATTTGTCAGTTGTTGATCTTAATGCCTGAGCTTCCCACATCTGTATGGAAAATCTTCCACATATCTACAAATTGAAATGCATTTTTAGCTTTCTTCTCTGTCAAATTCAGGGTATTAGGTCTTATGTTGAGGTCCTTGATCCACAGGTTGAGAGATAAAAGATTTAGTTTCATTTTCTACATGTAGCTATCCAGTTTGACCAAGACCATTTCTTGAATATGCCATCTTTTCTCCAATGTATATTTTTACCCTCTTTGTCAAAAATAAGGTGAGTATAGGAGAATGTGCTTATATCTGGGTCCTAAGTTCTACTTTATTTATCAATGTAGTATTTTTTCCTGTACCATTCTGTTTGTGTTACTCTTGCTCTGTAGTTTAACTTGAAGTCAGGGATGGTGATATTCCAGTTGTTTTATTATTCCACATCGATTGGGCTTTCTGATGTCTTTTATTGTTTCCTTGTATTTCATTACAAATATTATTGGTTAATTTTCAAGTATGTTTCCAAAAGACCATAAAGTGATACTTAGTTGAAGTATTTCAGATAATATAGAGCTATAGTTATGGTTTAGCACAAATAACTACACAATACAACCAATAGTCTTTATGTGTGATCCTGAGGATTGTACTCAGGCTGTCAGACTTGTCAGCAGGGACCCTTACTCACTGAACCATCACACCAGTCCCATAATCTTTATTTTATAAATGAGAAAAAAAGATGTTGGATGAATTTAAATGAATTTTCCAAGGTCACTATGAAAGTAGAAAATCTAAAACTAGCCTTAATCTCTTTTAAAAAATATTTTTAAAAAATTTTACGTGTATGAGTGATTTGCCTGCAGGTATGTATGTACACCTGTGCCTTGCAATGCCCACAGAGGCCAGAAAAGGGCATTGCCTTCCCTGGAACTGGAGTTACAGTCATTAGCTACCATATGGATGCTGCGAACTGAACTTGGGTCCTCTGGAAGGGCAGTCAGTGCTATTAACCACTAACCCATCTCTCCAGTTCCTAACCTTAATCTTTTGATCCTGTGTTTAGTGTCGTTGTGTAATGAGTACTCTGCAATACAACTATAATAGATAGCTTAAACAGTTTTGATGATAGCATTTTAAGGGGTAAATATGATGTAAGGGATCACCTTGGAGAGTATGAATACAATTGAAAGAAAAGTTAAGGTGAAAATATTTGATCCTCATTAGTCCGTGTATGTACTTCCACATCAGTGTAAGTTTTTAGTATGAATATACTTAAATGGAAGTACTCTTCTAATTCTGGAAGGAGAAATAAATTGTTTTTGCAGGCTAAGGTTTAATGACACAAATAAAAGCAATCTAAAGTTAATTGTGTTAAGACTTCGGAGGGTTATCTTACTATATTGTATCACCTGCCTGATCAGTCCTAGAATTAGGTAGCTAAAGATCATAACTGAAAGGACCTTAGAGGTTACATAATTCAGTGTTTTCATTTTCACATAAGACCATGAGATGGCAAATCAGTTATTTGTTGTCATTCAACTGATGTCAGTTGAAGTAGAATACTTTTTCCTTGTTCCTAGCTAGTTCTCCACCTATTGTATATAATTCATGCTCACAAAAAATGAATGACATACTAATACAACTGTTGGAAGAAGTAATTTAAAACTTGGGTACATATAAGTTGAAGGTTTATTTCCTAGCATTCCTTTGGTTACAGACACTCTAGAGCTCATCTTAAAGTAAGATATTGCTGTGTTCTTTAAGATCAATATAATACCAACTTCTCAGTTAGTTGCCTTGATGCTGTTTGTAGTCATCTTGAACCTTTAGCTGTTGATATTGGGTATAGCAACCTGCATAGTCCTAGTGTGAAGATTTACTAAGTTTCAGTGTATTAAAGAAGTTTACTACCAGCTTCCTCTTTCTAACAAGGAAACTGAAGTTTGTGATTTATTTCTTGGTTTGTTGGACCATACTACAGTTTTCCTAATATGAACCTAATCTCTTAAAGATGGTCATTGCATAAAGGGTCTAGGTTATAAGGTCCAAGCAGAGATGACTGTACCACAATCTGCACTAGCATCTGTGCTACATTCATTGTTCACAGTCTCAAAGGCTAAGAATATTAGACGTACCATTGCCAAATGAAGATGAGTGTTAATATCAGAGCTCACAATACTGAAATACATATATCATTGAACTACATGACCTTTTATAAAACACAGTTCTCTTTTTGTTGTTGTTGTTACCAGGTAATCTTGGCCGGGTTGACCAGGTCTCTGAGTTTGAGTATGATCTGTTCATTAGGCCAGATACCTGTAATCCACGCTTCCGAGTCTGGTTCAACTTTACCGTTGAAAATGTGAAAGAATCACAGGTAAGTGATAGATACTGTCGGTGTGGTTTTGTAAAAGAATGCACTCTGTTTTCTTTTACAGCAATCAAAATAGTGACTGTAGTAGACTATATTTCTATATCTGTAGCAATGATTGATTTTTGTTTGAAGAGATAAGACATATAGGTAAGATATGGTAAGTTAATTTCCTAATAGGAGCTAAATAAGGCAAAATTTTCAGAGTAGCATATTTTTTTATTTATTGCACCATTTTCATATGTGACACTTCCTTGTAGGACACATAAGAAACCATTGGAAGTGATCTGTGTGTATAAGATGATGTTATGTCTTCCTAGTAAAGACTCAGAAAGGCATTTCTCAAAAGTTTCAATTTCAGAAAAATCTTTTATTTTTTGTGTGGCAGAATGTTTATATTTTTAAGGTTATATGATTCTTTTTTAAATATTTTATTATTTTTATTTTATGTGTCTGAGTGTATTGTCTGCATGTATGTGAGTGCACTTGTGTAGTGCAATGCTGTGGAGGTCAGAAGAGGGCTTCAGATTCCCCTGGAACTGGAGTTAAGGACAGCTTGTAGCCACCATGTGGGTGCTGAGAATCGAACCTGGGTCCTCTGCAAGAGCAGTCAGTGCTCTCAACTGCTGAGCCATCTCTCCAGCCCCAGGTTATATGATTCATATAATTGTATATTTTCTCTAAACTTTTTCTGCTTAAGAAGTCAGAGACTGTTTTACAGTACTTTTCAGTGATTCTGGAAAACTTTTTTGTTTGTGTTTCTATGTGATGTTTAAATTTTATGAACATATTAATCTGCTTTAATCTTGATTTCTTCAGCTTCCTAACAGTGCATGATTTATAATCCTTTTGAAATCTTGTTCTGCATGAAAGAATATTGATGAAAATATTGTGATAAAGTACATATGCTTTGAATAACATTAGCAAAAGTCTAATTCTAAGAAACCAAGTCATAATTCTATTACATTCGGACAGCTAATCAGGGAAGACTGCACTAACTTTGCACACACAGTGATTTTATGCTTTTTTTTTTTAATGAAGATGATAGTACAACCATGTAACTCAACATGTCCCTTCTTCCTTTGGCTTGTCTTTTCTTAGTGTATTGGGGGAAAAGTGAGGTGTATCTATGAGTCAATGAATTCTGCTTATTTCTCAATGTTCCTTTCAGTTGTGACTTGCTTCATGTTTCAAGCATTGTCAGTGCCTGGAATTCAGGGACTCTTCCTTAACACTATGGTATTCCTGGGAAAATGGGTTCAGCAGAAGATGGGGACACTTTACTAATAATTATTTTAATTTCCTACAATATCATGGACACAGGACTCAGGAGTATGTAATCTTTATTGAATTTTACCGACTAACTGGTGGGAATTGAATATAGGAAATACTTGTACACTGCTAAATGTGACATCTCAGAATTTTAGGAGAATGGAGAGAAAAACAAAGAGAGCTAAACCTCTTATATAAAGGCCCTGGATGACAACTTTAAGTCCTAGCTTTGCTTCTTAGTTTTACTTAATCTTCCACGACAAAGCTCCTTTCACAATTTTCATAACATCATACTCTTTCTCTTTCTTGGTCATGGGAAAACCTGCACTTTACCTACCCTAGGATTATTTTTATTGCACAAAATAATCAGTAATCTGTAAAATCCCTTTTCTAAAATCTATATTATTGATTGAGTCTAGAGTGTATACATCACAGCAAAGGATTTAGCCACAGTATTAGACTTGATTCTTGGCATTCCAAATGGCCCCTCGCCCAAAGATCGCTTGCTATCAACAGGTTAATGTATGCCCTCTCATTCTTCTGTTGGTGTTACCAACTCCTGTCAGTAACTTATGCCTTCCAAATAAACACATCTCTAAAAAAGCAAACAAATATTCTGAAGTATAGCCAGTTTATGTGAAGGAAGAGAAGTATTTTTGTAAAAGCAGTATAAAAGTGTGAAGATTTCAAAATTCATAAAAAGGACTACTCATTTCCTTCTGTACAGCAAATAAATACCCTTCGGTTTCCCTACTGCTTCTAAGACCCCATTAACTCCTAGTAAAGGGGCTGATTGCTCTTCTTAGACACTGAGGTGTAGCTCTGCACTTACACAGTTTTTTAAATTGTGGGTCACAGAAAGTCTTTCATTCCATGAAAATTTTATTTACACAGCTTATGTTCATAAGAAAAGGGGTAGGGATGTGCTGATTTGTGAGTTGGAGAAAATTAGCTCCTTCAATTATGGTATACGAGACAGACTTTTGAACAAATTTCTCATGCATTTCATTATTTTTGTTTGCTCTTCTAGGATTTTCTTTGTATTGCTTAATATGTCACAGCCATAGTTGTGCAAGTTTCACTTTGTACTTGCTTCATGTTTCAGGGACTGTCAGTGTACGGAATTCAGGGACTCTTCCTTGACACCATGCTATCACTCACAAATGGCTTCAGTAGGAGAGGCGAACACCCACTTCACTTTATTACTAATTGTCCTAATTCCCTACAAGGCCTCTATGGCAATCTTATTTATCAATTAAATAAGCAAGTAACAAGGACGTTTTCAAAGGGGTTCTTCTGATAAGAAAGTTAGGTATGTTTTATGAACATTTATTTTCAAAGTTATTGGAAATGTTTTCTCCATATCTCTGGGTTTTAACTACATAAGCAATACTATGCTATGTTACAATCAGAAACCAAAACACGTTAATTTGGTTTTCTGGGCCTGATGCTTTTTTATCCTCTTTCTGTGGACCACTGTCTCAATAATCATAATATTTTAG